TAAACTTGGTAAATCTTGTAATTTGTTTTGTGTTTGTACACTTCTTTTAGATGCGAAAATCTAAATCAGATTGCAAATCTTTTTTGGGGGGGTGACTTTGATGGTGAACATGTTGAAATATAGCTCTGTACATGCCATGTTGGCTAAAGAGTCTGTCACTCTCCTGTGTCAAAACATCGCCATGGAAGTAAATATTTAACTCTGACCTTAAATTTTTCCTCAATTACTGCACATTATTTTATTTATTCACTTTATTTATTTCAGAGAAAGTCAAGTGGAATTACGACAACAAATTGATGGACTTGCTGAAGGTATAATATATTCTTGTATAAATGTAACGTCACATCTTTCAGGTGAAATACCATAGGGGCTTGGACAATCTTATAAAAGTCAGATCTATGTGGAGTCTGTTTACTTTTACTATCACCTCCATATAATAGTAATAACTTTATTACATCCTTAAATGTACAGTATTTCTATCAGTTTATACAACAAAGATGAAAAAGAACAACAACAAATTAGTCAAAAGTGTTGTTTTCATTCCTTGCAAAGATGGAGAAATGTATTAATTGACCAACACTTGTGATTATATTTTTGTTAGTACTTTCCATTAAGTATTATAAATTTGTGTGGGTCATTTGTGATCTCAGATGGAAATACATTTTTTTGAAAGCATATCAGTTCAATGGTTTTGGTGTTTAGGGCATATCATAAGAAAATGTATTTCATCTTCTAATTTTTTTTTTGAATTCCTCTCCCCAGTCTCTACAGCAGTCAACAAGCTGCCACAACTTTTAACTCATGATTCCTTAGGGGCACACTGTCTTTGTGTGCTGCTTCTGTATCAGATACTTGTCTTTGTAACTTCTTGTAAAAGCTTTAGGATCTATGTACCTGACATTTAGAATTGGTGTAAAAAAAACACTTTATGTTGATACTGTGGACTTTACAGCTGTTTCTCTATTTCTAACTTTCAAGAGACAAAAATATTTTTTTGTTATCTACTATTTGCTTGTTTATTTTTATTTATTTATTTACTGATATATTCAGAATTAAAAAAACTTTCGGAAGAGCAGCCGTTACCTGTGGAATTAGATGCCTATGTCAAAAAATTAATGAACTCAAGAAGACGAATAATGGTCGTGAATAACATACTACAAAATGCACAGGTAAGGCAATCATAACCTCTTCATCACCAGTTCCCTCTTTTCATCACAAATTAACAAAATATTTCTGTTTATAGTCTGCACTTTCCTTCAGAAGACTGGAAAAAAATAGCCAAATTTTTTGAGTAAAAACCGAAAATTTACTCAAATTTTGTCTGTTGGCTTCAAAATTGCAGTTCATTTCTGGAAATATTGTAAAATGTAAGAAAAAAAGTTTAGAATAAATCTGTTGGTGAAAAGGTTAAGCCCTCGATAATGTGTCGCCCTCTTACAAAGTTTCTATCTAATAATAAAAATCAATTGCCAGAGAGAGGTAGACACTACCGTATTATAAGCTGCATCCCTAATAGAAGTCGCACCTATTCTTTTTGAACAATTGAGAACCAAAAATTCACCATTTCTCATATGTGTAGATGCTCTAATAGAAACCACATCCCCTGTTGCATTGTACCATTTTAATAGAAGCTGCGGCTTTTAATACAGATTTTACACCACTAATAACACCAACAATTGTTAGCCACTGCACTTCACTGGGCTCTATGCATGACCCTAAAGGTCACTCATCACAACAGCCTTAATATCAAATATTATACTGTAGTCAGGATAGTGTTTATACCTGAACTCCGGTCATGTGAGGTCAAACTGTATTTGATAATCAAAGATAACTGCTAAAATGACCTGAACACAAGTTACTGTATCTATCTATGGTCATAATAAGTCATATTTTAATGATCTAGCATACAATAAATACAATTTTTAGTTTTCGTTCACTCCTATTGGAGCTGTGCTAATACAGCAAATATGGTATTCCTAGTTTGCAAGGGTACTTGA